TTTAGAGTAAGAGAGTATTTTAAAAGAAGGGAATTTTTTAGGGAATTTCGTATAATAATTATACTAAAAATCATACAAACAACTCCTATATATGGTTCGTGTGATCGCCTTTCTGAAAAATATCCAAACATTGAGACACCACTGATAACCAAAAAAGAATTAACTACTACTCTGAAAATTCAAGTCGAATGGGCTGATAAAATTAATTGTGCCAAGATTGTCAACAATCACCCAAATGTAATGATGATGGCCTCATAAAAATTTTGTTGATGATGATATATTGGTAAGGGTCTCATAATGGAAGAGTAATATTAGAGAAATGAATGAATTAAAAGGGCAAGCTAATGAATAAGGGTATTTGCATAATATACCGAGTGACAAACGAAGGATACAGAGAGGCAAAAATATTAAAAGTGTTTCGGTATGAAAACAATTGGACCTTCGGCAGGCCCTTTTCAAGGGAGAAGACTGATCTCGGATCAACTGATGAATGGGTCGAGGGTTTCCTACATGGCAAAGCACACGTAAACTAGCCTCGGGGGTGGTTGCCGAGGAAGGCCCCTCCGATGCTAAAGTCAGTTCAGTGTGTTGAGAGAGAAAATCTATGCAAGAGAATTAATTGCTTGAGGCTATTTCTGAATGAATGTAAGAGAAGTCAATTGAAGGCTTTTATACCTTGCTTAATTAGTGAACTGGGCCACAAGTCAGATGGGCTTTCCATGCTCACTAGGGTTGGCTGACTTAGCATGCTTTTGGTGAGTTGAACCTTGCTTTTGCTTTTGTAATTAAATCATTTGGACTGGCCCAATCAGGTTGACTGAATTGGACCCAAACAACTTACCCCCCATACCCGATTCGGAAGGATGACGGGTTGGGTTTTGAATTACAAAATGGAGGGAGACAAATGATTGTAATTTGAATTTTGGAACCTGGACGGTTAATGATGTTGTAACTGTCATTAAGGAGAATTATTAGGGAAGGTAGAAGGTTTAATGGGTGGTTAACATGGGAAAGTGTTTAACGGTTATGTTTAAGTGGAATTTAGTGGGTTTTTTGGCGGTTTTAAACTCTTGGAATTCTTGATTCCAGCAAGCTTATTTAAACTGCCCTCTCCAGTTCCTTTAATCACGTTTTTGCAACAGTGCTTCCTTAAATTCGCCAACACCCTTGCAAATCGCATTTCCTTTTCTCCCTTATTCACTATAATTGCGAGCTTTAGACTGAAATTCATTGCTCGGAACAAATAGATCGGCAAATTCCGCGTCTGGTGATGGTAATCTTCTCCAAAACTTGTTCAGATTTTCTTGTTTTTTGAAGCTTTTCCCCTTTTTCCGTGTTCTTGATTTTTACACAAAAATGGCTCGTGACCGAGGAAAAAGGCCAATGGTGGCTGAGGAGGAGGAGGTTCCTCAGTTAGGGGCTCGGCACAGCCAGCCACTTGGGAAGATGCCGCCCTTGAGCAACCGAACCTCCCTCCCTAGAAGAGAAGATAGGGTTTCTTCTGAGGATCCCCCCATTGCTGCGATACCACTAGCTTCGGTGCCTTACCGAGGTTGGGAAGAGGCAAGCACTTCCAATAGTGGTTCAACGCATGGGCCTCGGCGACTACCATCTAGGGCCACTGAATGGTACAACCCGCCCGAGAACTTTGGGCTGATGAACGATGCTCCCTATGATTGGTGGGTCAATGGGAGTGCCCTCCATCACTTCGCCGAGCAAATCAAAGTGTTTTACGGAATAATGGAGGAAGATGTGTAGTGGTGCCAAATGCTCGTAGCCGAGGACAGAATTCATAGGCCCCGTCCTGTTTATATTGGGGTGTATACAAGGAAGCTGCAATTTGGGCTAAGGTTCCCCTTGCATCCGTTCATTGTGGAAGTGCTAAATTGGTACAACATCTCGTTGTGCCAGTTAACCCCAGTCAGCATCTGAAGAGTCATGACATTCCTTTGGGCGTGTCTCTTTTATGGATTTGAGCTGAGCATCCACGTTATTCGGAAATTACATAAGCTGATGCCGAATCAGCAATCAGATGAGCACCACGGCCCTGGATGGTGGAGAATCGAGACCCAAAAAGGGTACTTAACCACTTGGTCGAACGATACGTCCGATAACGATTGTCGAGGCCAATGGATATGGATTCGGGCTTCTGCTGAGGAGGATCACCCAAATTATTTTAGAGAGCCGAGGCATCTGAGAATGCCAGATCCTAAATGAAAGTCATCGGCCCGGATGAGTTCTCATCCGAAAATAAGGGGTTGCTGACTCTCTTCGACAAAAAGAAGAATCCAGGGGGCACTGGCCGAATGACCTATGTGCCGAAGACTTGGCTGCCCTGCTACCACTATATCTTCAAGGAGAAGATACTCACTGTTGTCAGCCTCAGCCGAAAGTACCAGAATGGTAAGAAGTTTGGCTGGGCCCGAAGGCCTTTGCTTTTCTTTTTTATTTTCTTTCTGTTTTTATTGGTTGCTCTTCCATGCAGAATAACCTTTTTCTTTCTGTTTTTCAGAGCTGCATGAAGGGAATTGTTGTTGGGTTTTGTAGTGACCCACACTACGTGGAAAGAAACCCGCCAAGACCCGCCCCCATAATAAATGCAATTAATCAAGCAAAACATAATTAAATACAAGAAAGGATAAAAGATTATACCTTTGACGCGTGCTTCGCTCAACAATGAGCTCTTACTTGAACCCCGAAAATACGAGGTCTCCAACGGGATCGTACCCTCGAACCCGACCCGAGCGTCCTAAGTCTCGAAGGTTAGTTGAGACCCGGACAAATAAAACTATGAGTTTTACGAATCAAGGTTTACTCAAATCAAGAGTTGCCTTTTAATTCCACTCAAGGTTGTGTATTTCCCAATACCCATGCCTTAAGTATTTAAAGGGAAATGCACCCTTGAACTTCATTTCCCAACCAATGTGGGAGAATGAATAATTTTGATAATTAATTTATTTCCAAAATAAATTAATAATTAAATCAATCACAATGCAACAAGTGTCAAGGAGAGAGAGAGAGTTAGGTGAGGACCAAGGGCTTGGGGGGGACCATTTCCTTGATCCCCAAGCCATTGCTCCAAGAAATGGTCCCCTCATCCAAAACCGGCTCATGCTATGGCTGTGCTGGCAGCTTGCTTCGCTGGCCAGCTAGAACAGCCAGCCTAGCATACCCAGCTGGCACGCATCACCCAGCCCAGCACTTGCGTGCTACTAGCGAGCCACGCCTTGTGCTGGGCGTTGGGCGTTGTTGCCTGGCTATTGCACACACACGCACATGCACACGCACAGCCAGGCTAGCTGTTGCGTAGTGGTGCTGCCTAGCTCTTCCTTGCATACACTCGCATGCTGCTGCTGCTGCGATGCCCTCCACGCACACGCGCACTGGCCTAGCCATGGTGTTGTGCTTGTGCGAGGGGCCTGCGATGGTGCCTAGCACCCAGGCACGCATGATGCGATGCAGTGCCATGCGAAGGCACGCATAAGGCACAAGCACACGCACACACGCACAGGCCTAGCCATGCGATGGTGTTGTGCTTGTGCTGCGATGGTGCGATGGGCTGCGATAGTGCCTAGGCTTGCGCCTAGAACACCATGGTGTGCGTAGCACACACATGGTGCGCCTAGGCTTGCGATGAGCTAGCATAGCCTAGCTACGACTATGCTCGTACTTGTTGCTTGTGATTTTGCGACGCTCGGTCTCGATGCCCTAGGCTCGATATCCGACGTCTATATTCGTAAAGCTCCGTCGACTCATTAAATCCTTCGGATTAATTCGTCGTCTCGGATCGGTTTTTCGATTGGGTTCGACCCGAAGGGTTCAGTTAAGATTAAGCTGTAATATTAATTATACCTTAATATTACTGATCGGAAGCGGTCTCCACCTAGGCATTCCGATCACTTGACCTTACTGAAGAATTAGCTCTGTAATAATTCTGAACCCTCTATTAGAATAATACACTTGTTGGAAGGACACCATTCCTTTCAATTGCGGCCTTTAATACAATAGGCTTGGCATCAACGCTGCTCGGCGAGTGACGAGGAACGCCCCAACCATAATCGATCCTTCGGCTAGGGCCCCTTCACTGCACCCATCAATGCTTGAGATAGTCAAGATTGCCGAATATTCCAGGCAGAAACCCTGGTACTTGAAGAAGGACCCGTTTTATTTATTGGGTCCAGAAGAACAAGCTGCTGCTGCTACCGTTGCTAGCGTAAGGGCTAGAATCTTTGCTAGAGCCTTTGAGCAAAGTGCTGAGCTGCAAACTTTTGTTGCTGAACCTTATGCGCTCAATGCCGAGGACGAGCAACTGCTGAGGACTTCGGTGAGTCTTTTCCTCTTTTCTTTTTCTCCTTGCCTTGCTCCTTCTACTTAGATTTTTCAACTTGTGAATTTTTTTTTATGAAACTGATATCGCTCTTTGCCCCCCTGTTTCTTCTGCTGCAGTCTGACGAAGAAAAAGGAGACAAGATATCGCTCTTTGCCCTCCTGTTTCTTCGGCTGAAGAAATGGTCGGTCAAAGAAAGAGGGTCGTAGTAAATCCGAGACATTTCCCGGCTGTTGAGCCCCCTACCAAAAGACCTCGGCTGGATGAGGACCAGGCTGAGGTGGCCAAAGAGAAGACTCCTCCTCCTCCCGAAAATCGGGATGAGGAAGTTCAGTAAAAGACTCATCCCATCGCAAGTTCCTCTCCATCTCCTCGGCACACTGCCAAACCTTTTGCTGATGAGGTACGGATGGAGGCCGATGCACTAATTGTGCAGCCCGAGGACGATGATGTTCAAATCCTTGATGGGATGCCCGAAGACTTCGAGGAGGCCGATGAAAGAGTTGAAGAACCAAAGAACTTTGACGTTCCTTCAACCTCTACTGGAAACTCTTTCCGGACTTTCTAATCTTCGGACATGGGGTTTGAGTCCGCCCCCCTTTTGACTTTTCTGTTAGGAATAGTCTGTTCTCTCACTGAAACTCGGCTGTGGAGTTTTTCGGTGATCTGTTTGGCCTTTCCGAGCTGGAAAGGGCGAGGATCTGGTCCTTTCGGGCTGATGCTAGGGTGTCTGAGCCTTTTGTTAGGTTGCCAGATCCTTTAGCTGAGAATCACAAGCTGCTAATGCAAGTAGCCTGCTCTTACTTAAACTTTTTGCTTAAGTACTTCGCTTCCTTTTCATTTAAGCTTGTTCTACTCAAGTTTTTTTTTTTTTCCCTTTTTTTTTCCCGTCCAAGTCCTTTTCCTCGGCTAACTTCACTACTACATTTTTTATCTAATGCAACGGCTAAGACAGAGCTAATACAACGACTCTACTATTACCGTTGTATTAGACAAGGCTAATACAACGACATCATGTTAATTAAATCAAACACTGGGCTAATACAACGGTTTTAAAAAACCGTTGCATTAGGCCAGCTAATCCAACGGCTCATTTTGGCTAATCCAACGGCAAAATATCTAATACAACGGCACTGTTTTTATATAGGCGCCAAAACGAAATTTCCATTTACTGACTTCCCTCCTCATTTTTCCCCAAATTCATCTCACTACGCTCGCAATTACCCAGAAGATAACTCATTTTCCCCTAATTTTCATTTTTAGCTAGCTCTGTCTTCATTCCCACGCCCTTCAGTTCCTCATTTTTCCCAATTCAGTGCCCAGCTTTGTTCACAAATTCACATTTTTTTTCCCAATTCTCTCTCTTCTTCCTCTTCAAATGGTAGATTAGGCGAATTGAAGGAAGGCGCTGGCGGTAGTGGTGGTGGTGGCTGATTGTTCGACTCTTACATGTGACAAATTTCCTCGGATCTTTAAGGTATACCTCAATTTGCTCGAATCTCTGGTGTCTTTGTGATTAGGGTTTGTGTTAATTGAATTTTTTCTTTGTGTTTATGCCGGTGAATGGTTTGGTTTTACTTTTTTCGGGTTTATGTCAAATAATAGACAAAGGAGTATAATGTGGGTTTGAAATTTTCTGGGTTTGAATTTTTGTACAGTATAATTGTGTCATTATTTATGCACCACTCTAATCTCCCTATTTTACTTATGAACCCTCCTCCTTCCCTTTCTTTACATAACAGATAATTTATAGTTTTTCAATTGATAACAATTGGATACTATTAACCTATGTAGAGAGGGTCCTGAAATATATACTTGCCCTTTATGGAATTGTCAGGAATCTAAAGCTTTGTTTTAAGCTTACACATGTCTGCCCTCTCATCTTTAAGTCTTTAACTTTAGCACGACTTGAATCTATCTTCTCTAAATTTCATATTATTAATTTGAATCAAGGTCTTATGAATTTGCAGCGCTCAAATTAGGATTTTGAAAAAGGGACTGAATTGAACAATAGAAAAGGGATAGATTTTTTACTTTTCAAAATACCGAAGTCTGAAACACTCTATCTGTTATCTACTGTACAACTTACTACTAATTAAAGCTCGAGCTTCAATGCTAGCGCAAATACACTCTTGCTTGCATCTTCTGTTTTGGTTCAATTGATCCCACATTTGCAGGTTCATGTTACATCGATTAGCTTTTACCTCACACTTAGGCCAAAACAGTTAGGATATGCCAGCCCTGTTTTTAAACCTCAAGAGTGTATTATCAATCAGACACTTATGCACAAGCAAAAAGGATCAGAAACTGTGTTACTTTTACGGCCAGTGATTAGCTTAACCAAAATTGATCACAAAATAATTTCAACCACACTAAATAGGTTCAATAGGATAATAATTCAATCAATGTGTTTATTGAGGGGTTCTTTCTCAAAAACTATTCCTCATCCTACTATAAATGTAACATTTTCAAAAACAATAATAATACTCCCTACACTAAGTTGATGACCCATTGATTTACTTTGATTTTATATAGATTTCTGGTTATAAATTTACTCAATTGAAATATGGGTTTGAATTTTTGTAGGTGAAGATAAAAAAGGACTTACTCAAGATAAATAGAATAAGGTGTTGAACAATTGCCGGCAGCAGAAAGGGGTTTTCATCTTTAAGTTGCCTTGGTAAGCCTTTTTAAAATTTAATTATATTTAAAATTTTCTTAATGTGAATTGGATATGATTTTCACAACCAAATTTTAGAAATTCTTCTCCCAATTTCTGCCAGAAATTAGTTAGGCTCTTATAATTAGGTTTCATTTTGGAAATTAATTTAATTATATGCACACTTTGGGTCGTAAGTCATTTGCCATTTTACGCCATGAATTGGTAAATACTTTTATCTAATTATAGACAATTACACCATGAATTTTTTGTGTTTAAAGCTCTCTAATCTTTACTCATATAGGGAATATGTGTAAAACCCAATTAATGTCTATAACTCTGTATCCTGTCATTAATTCTGAGTCTGCTTACACACTATGTTAGTATAGGCTAGATTGGTGTTCATCTTGTGTTTTGGTAATTTTCCTGCATTATATGTTAGCGGTTTGACAATAACACTTCCTTATCAAGAAGGGGTGTATTTAGTGCCTGGGATAGAGTAGTTCATTGATCATGTGTTGCACCTCCGTGAAAAATAATGAGAGTTGTACAGGTTATGCGACTTTATCCTTTGGCACCTATTTACACTGTTAATTTCTATTTTTACCCTAAGGAATGGAAGGTGGAACTAAGAATTGGTGGATGTTTGCCAAATGGAGCGATGAATATGAACAAGGAGTCGACGAATATGTCAAAAGGGCTTTTGCTATTAAGTCTCAAGGAAATCAAATTTGTTGTCCATGTCAAATTTGTCATTATCGTTTTTGGCGGTGTGAAGGTGTGGTGAGAGACCATTTAATTTGTAATGGTTTTGTTCCAAGATCGGATAAGTTATCAGATTTAGGGTTCAATATCCAACGAGAAGAAACTATTTTGGATAATGATGAAGGATCCATCCCAAATGAATCTAGCGATGACGTAGTGAGGTTGTTGCATGATGCACGTGATGCTTTTAGAGAGGGGCCAAATGATGATGCAAAAAAGTTTTTGAGGTTAGTTGAAGAAGGGCAAGAAGAATTGTATCCTGATTCCAAAAATCACTCAAAACTTTCCTTCATGATTCGACTTTTTATTTTGAAGTGTGATCATAATCTAACCAATGCCGCATTTGGAGATATATTGGAGCTTATAAGGGAGGTGTTGCCTGATGCAAAGTTGCCAACTTCTTTCAATGAAGCGAAAAGTGTTTTGAAAGTGTTGGGGTTGGATTATACAAAGATTGATGCATGTCCAAACGATTGCATGATATATTGGGAAGAGCATGAAAATGCAACAAGCTGCCATGTTTGTAAAACACCAAGATGGAAATCAAAGGACAAAGAGGATGACATAGAAAATGGTAAGGGAAAGACCTATAGAATTCCTCAAAAGATTCTTAGGTACTTTCTGATAAAGAAAAGGCTTCAACGACTATTTATGTGTCAAGAGACGGCGAGATACATGACTTGGCATGCGGATGGGCGTGAAACAGATCATCTTTTACATCATCCAGCTGGCGGTCAAGCTTGGAGGGAATTTGATTCCTTGTACAAAGAGTTTTCTGATGACCCGCGCAATGTGAGGCTAGGACTAGCCACAGATGGCTTCAGCCCGTTCAACTCAATGAGTATTGTACATAGTACTTGGCCAGTTATTTTGATCAATTACAACTTGCCTCCTTGGATGATTATGAAGCCTGAGTATTTGATGTTAGCACTACTAATTCCGGGTCCTTCTTCCCCAGGCAATGACCTTGACATATATTTGCAACCACTAATGAAGAACTTGGAGGATTTGTGGGAGTTCGGACTGGAAACTTATGATGCTTCGAGTAACCAGAGGTTTCACATGCATGTAGCATTGATGACTACCGTGAGTGATTTTCCTGCTTACGCGATGTTATCTGGCTGGAGCACAAAAGGATACTTGGCGTGCCCTGAGTGTCATTATGAATTAGATTCTGAGTGGTTTCCTTGTAGTTCTAAGAATGTGTATAGGGCAAATCGTATATATCTACCTCCATTTCACCCTTGGCGTCGTGATAAGAGGAATTTTGATGGGAAAGTTGAGGAAAGACAGCAACCTACTCCATTGAATGGAATTGATGTAGCTAATCTGTTGCGTGATTTTCCAAATGAATTTGGAAAGATGCAAAAGACACCAAGGCGTGATGCTGATGATCCGAACCCGTGGAAAAAGAGGATCATTTTTTTCGAGTTACCATATTGGAAGCATTGTCTTAATCGTCACAACCTCGATGTCATGCATATTGAGAAAAATGTGTTTGATAGTGTCATTGGGACATTGTTAGACATTTCTCAAAAGACCAAGGATCATAAGAGCGCTCGTCGAGATTTGGTGGAGCTTAATTTGATGCCGGGGCTTCAACCAAGAGAATTGGAAGATGGTGGCGAAGAATTTCCAAGATCACGCTTTTGGATGTCATTGGAGCAAAAACGTAAGTTCTGCTACGTCTTCAAAAATGCCAAACTTCCTCAAGGCTATGCTTCTAACATTGGTCGATGTGTACAAGTTGGGGAAAGGAAAATTGCAGGCTACAAAAGCCACGATGCACATTTTATGATGAATTATTTGCTCCCAATTGCAGTGAAGACAACATTATCCAAAGATGTTGCTACTCCTTTGATTAGACTTTGTGCTTTTTTTAAAAGTATATGGAGTAAAAAGGTTGATCCTCAACATCTTAAAAAATTGCAATCTGAGTTAGTTGAAACGTTATGCCTACTTGAGAGGATTTTTCCACCTGCCTTTTTTGATATAATGGTACATCTACCTCTACACTTGGTGGGCAAAATTAAATTGGGTGGACCTGTAAGTTCAAGGTGTATGTATGGGATTGAGAGGTATCTTCATGGACTAAAGCAAGATGTTCGATATAAAGCTCGTCCAGAAGGCTCAATGGCAGAAGGATATCTAGCCAAAGAATGTGTTGCCTTTGTAGCTAGATTTTTGAATGGATCAAACTCGGCCACACCTCAAGTTAATGCTTGTAGTACATCACAATCATTTCTTCCTAAGGTAGGACGTCCAATAAAAGGGAAAGGAAGGACATCAAAGAAAAAAGACCGTGAACACATACTTGATCACAATCAATGGGTACAAGCGCATCGTTATGTCTTGTTCAATTGTGACTGCGAGGAAGTTGAGAAATATATAAGGTTAGATTACCAACCAAAATGTAGTTTTTTTTCTTTTTCTCTTGGTTTTCAATATGTTTTAATTGTAGTGTTAATAAAGTATCTTTTTATATTTCATAGTGAGCACAAGGAATTTGTAAGCGCTAGAGGAAAAAGAAAATGGAATAGCGTTCAAGATCACAGCAAGGATTTTGTGGATTGGTTTAGGGAGAAAGTTGATTTCATTGTTGAAGAGGGTCAAGAGATCATCCCTAACAATATCATATGGTTATCAAAAGGGCCTTCTTACATTGCTAAAAAGTATACAGGGTACTCAGTCAATGGTTATAGGTTCCATACCATGAAGCGCGATGCTAATTGTGTAACTCAAAATAGTGGAGTCACTCTAACGGCCATGACACATAGCTTTGCGAGTTCCAAAGATCAAAATTCTGTTGAGGCTAATGTCAATTATTATGGTTCAATAACAGACATCATTTCAGTATCTTACCATGGCTATTTCTGTGTCGTCTTATTTAAGTGTGTGTGGTTTCACTCTGAAAAAGACGATGATGAGCTTGTAACGATTAATATGTCTAAGACAATTTCTAAAGAAGAACCATTTATCTTGGCATCTCAAGCACATCAAGTGTTTTATGTTGAAGATCTTAATAGAGATGGTTGGCATTATGCTGTTCAAATCCCTCCTAGAGAGCTTTCTGATGGTTTTTTTCCCTAACAATTTATATTACATTATATTGCACTGCTTTTCATATTATATTATGTTATATTACATTGTTTTTCATATTATTATCTTTTATGGTTTGTAAACATGTTCTCATTGAATGGCTTTGCAGATGAAGGGGAGTAAAGCAAAAACTTCTAATTCCCAAAGTTAGCTTCCAGACTATGAGTTACAAAGGCTTAGAAAATTGAAGCATAATGCTGAAAGAATGTCAGCCCAAGGATCGGGATCCTTGGCGAATAAGATACTGCAACAAAAAACACGCGACATACTTTGTTCGAGTGTGAGGCAGACAGATGATGGCTCCTCAGGAGACTCTGATACTGAACAGGAAACTCTTGGTAGTGAACAAAGACAAGTATGTGAAAAGGTATCTTTAGTAACTTGAATTTGCTTTGACGACATATACATTCCTGCCTTTGCTCTGCCAGACTCTTGGTATAAGTTGTGTAGGAATTATCTAATATGTTGATTCAGTTTGCTTTGGTCTCTTTTAACCTTGAAGCTCATCTAAACTAGACCGGTACCTTATTATCTGGCTCTTTTATTTTTCTCTGTTTTATAAGTCAATTTCAGTCGAGAAAGACCTACATAGTATATACATGGCAAAATTACTACGTATTTGAATTTTTTTCCCATCTGTGATGCTGCAGTTCTGATTCAAATATAGAGATAGTTCGACATTTAGTAAAAACACAAAAATGGTAGTGTGTTGAGTTGTAGTTGAAAGGAAATGCAGATCAAGCGCGTAGAGAGAATCAGAGAACTGGACAACATTAATTCCTTAATACAATTACTTTGTCTATTTTGTTCCCACTTTCTAATCAGATACATGTTTGTAGCATTCGCAATGCCTTTATGCATCTTGTGAGAGTGTAAAACGAAGAAACTATAAATGATGAATGTTCACAGGAGATGAATTGTACTGCAGCTAGTTGGGGATGTGGTGTTGTAAGTCCCATTGGAAAATTTATTTGCTGATCTAGCCTCGAGTGACACTGATGATGATGCTTATATTACTGATGCAGAGTGATACAAATAAACATGTTATTGTCATTTTTATTTTTACATACTTCATGCTGATACATGTAATGTTATATAATTACTTAGGTACCGAAATAGGGGTTGGGCATTACATGTAATGCTGAAATGGTAGTATTGGGGGCTCTTTTAGTTCAGACATCACATTTGGTAGCACAATAAATCTATACAAGGTGTCATGAAAGATAAAGAAGGAAAAAATCAGTCCTCTGTCATTGTCATTGTCATTGTTATTTTCTTTTCCTTTTCTTATAATTACTTTGGTATTTCCTTAAAAAAATTGAGTCCTTTAGAAGTTTTACCTTTCACGTAAAAAAGGTAATATTAGCCCTTTAGCATCTGATCACCTCATCCCTTTTTACCTATACCAATATTCCCATGTCTCTCCTCCCCCTCCCATTTGGACCTCAACTCCACATTTATTGCCTAGATTGATTATCAACCTCATCACTATCACCATCTGACAGGATAAATTCATCCAGCTTAGCTATGTGGTTGCCTATGTATCTTGTTTTGTAGTGTATTGGTATAATTTTTCAGATTGTGGTTAGCGGTGAATTTATGGTTAGTTTATTAGTCGCTGTTCTTTGTGTTTTCATTTTAAAATATGCATTTCCCTCGATAAGTGATTGCCGGAAATTTGAGATTTTCATATGCATATGACAAGCAAGAAATTTCTGAAGCTTCAGTTTAAAAAGTACAAGTTTAGGATATGTAATTATGTACAATAATGTTAGAAAAAATTTAGAACTAACTGTAGGGAACATATTAATAGGGAGTTTGAGCCCTCATTAAATTTTAAATTTGGAAGCATTACATTAAATTGCCACAGCACTTGCCACAATTGATAAGATGATGCCTTACTTAAGATGAGATAGACTTGGCTGGAATTCGGAAGAGGTGTGAGATGAGACAATTGCAATATTGGATCTGGATAATGGCTCTATAGTCATGCTTTGTAAGGTCATTTAGCTTATTGGCACAATGAAAGAAGTCACGACTCAAGAGCACAACTTTAGTCTAACATAAATGAGTCAGGTTTTGTAAGAGCTCTTTTATGAAGCAAAAGGCAGGAAGTTCATATGCACTGTGCTTTTAGGAACAGTAGATGCTGGAACCTTAAAGTTTGTTAAGGTTCATGAATTGAGTGTGTAGGAAAAACTATTTTTGAGTTTAATGTAGAGCTATCAATTGTTGAGGTAGATGATTTGCCTGACATGCCCTATGGGTTGCAAATTTCATGTCAAGTTTAGCATCCTTATATGCTTTCTAGCTGAAAGAAAGAAAGAATTCTTCAAGATTGGATCAGATAGAGAAAATTGTTTGAGCAGAAAATAAAGGGTAGCCAAGGATGGAGATTTTATCACATAATCCTCTAGTTACTCATAAAGATCACCCCTACATCCTATCTAAAGTCATTCTATATATCTTATCATATATCTGTCTCACATAAGATTATAAGAGTTACTATTAAGGGTAAGAGTGATTGAATTCAAAAGTAGTGCAATGTACTCGCTTAATTGTTTGAGTGGCTTTTGTTGTTGGTAGATATTTAAGGAATAGTAAGTATAGTGGTGATTTATATGCCTATGATATGACTCATCTTATTTCTAAGAAAAGATTCTTCCAGGAATAATTCATCTAATTTTTACATTGATAATGACTGGCCTTTTGTTAAGGGCCTTACTACCTTGTACTCCCCTTATTGGCATTGAATAGTCAAATTTTTTCGATTGACACTCAAAAGCATGAAGCATATTGTTTGCTTCTACTATCTAGTACTATCTATTTACAATTTGGCATCATCATTTAGTAGTCAGTCCCTCCCCTACCTCTTGTTTTACAGAGATTGAGGGGATTGTATACCATATTCCATATATGAGCATGCGCATACTAGCTAATTGAGCACGAGCTGAACAGACAAGCTGCGATTCGAACTTGAATCTTTCGTAACATAAATCCTTATGTGCACAATTACTACTTGTCTAGCCATCAATTTATAGATTGGTTATTGCTAAATTCCTAAAGTCTTATAAATTACTCTGTACAACATTTTCTGTTCCTTCTATGTAGTCTTATTTTTAATTTTTTTGGCGTAGTTTGGGATAATCACAGAGATATATTAAACAAGAAAAACATGAATCAAGAAAGTTGTGCTTTTTAGTTATCATTATAGAAAACAAAAGGTCAAGAAATTACCAGGGACTAATCCATACTTGTATATGACGTGACAAAGATCTTTGGAGGGATTTCATATAATCAAATGCCGTATATTATAAATGGAAAAAACTCATCAACCAAATTTCAGTCTTGTTGCTTGTTGAGACTGTTTGCTGATCTTAATGTTTTTACTGCTGTTCTCATACATTTTTAAGCTAATGATTGGAATTTATATCTTTCAGCTCCATAATCGCTCTTTTTTTTTCTTTCTTTGGTTTAATGTATTGTGGGTTGATTTGATGATACACAGTGTCTCTTGGGTTTTTTGACGACATATACATTCCTGCCTTTGCTCTGCCAGACCCGTCACATAGTAACTTGTTTCGCTTTTGTTTTATAGGTCTCTTCTCAACAACATCCAGTTCCTACACTCCCATTCAAAGGAAGCAGCAAGAACAGCAATTGGATTCAACAAAGGCATCTGTGAAGAAAAGAGCGTTCTGTTCTCCTGGCTCAATGTTAGCCTACCTCGAGTTTCGGAAACGACAAAAGGATGAAGCGCTGATGATGAGCAGTGAGGTGCATGAAAAAGGGCAAAATTATGATGATGAGCAGCTGAATGAGACCGATTGTGCTCTTCAGTTCGATTGTGAGGGCAATGAAGCAGCGGAACGAGCATTTATGGCACAGTTTGGAATGGAAGGTATATTCTGATCATTAATTATGATTGCCTTAGGTTGACCTGTCAAATTGTTATAATTTTAGTAAAATATAATTATAGATATAATTAATAGTATAAATATGCTTTGACAGACATAAATAGATTGAAAACTCCAATAAAGAAGTAGATACATTCTTCCTAGACATTTATAAAAGAAAAACACATGTATATGCAATGGAGCTTATATTTTGCCTCTGATTCCTAAAACTTAAAATTTGTAGTTTGTTCAATAATCGTATCTATTTCATATTAGACCTAATGGCTGAAAATATATAATATGTAATATTTCAATTTAAAGTCTGAACACAGGAAAGAAAAGCATAACTTAATAAGATATTGTCTCTGAATACTTCCTTAGGTTCTCCCTGCTCCACTACCACAGTGAGAAAATAACATGAAGTGTTTCAGCACCTATCTTATTCCATTTGCACTCATTCAACTAATATCTCTAATTCATCATGAATTGCAGCAGTACCCTCAACTGGCAGAAAACGTGTCCCTACTCTTTTTAAAGTAGCCATTTTCAACTACTAAAGAATTCATCATGTTATTCATTAATAAAAAGTAATAATTGTTATGGTACAAATTTACACTACTTTTGCCTATGCAATAGGTACTAACCCCATATGCAGCCATTACAGAAATATGTACAAAATACTAATAAAGTACACGCATTTAAAATTACCTAGCAATAACATTTTCTGTTTTGCATTCTCAGTTGAAGAATCTTTCTTATCTGATTCTGCCATCTTTGTTAAAGCACTGGTTGAGATATATATAGACTTGTTAAGCTGGATAAACTTACGAATGCAGTGTTTATTACCACAGAAACATCAAGTGAATTGTCCTCCAAAAGTAAAAAACATCGAGGTCGAACAATGCTCCACAGGGTTCACGCACGTTCAAGAGAGGAGCGTCCTGTGATTGTTCTGAACTCATTAGGTCAGCCAGTTGGACCTACTAAGGAGATTGTGCAAGAGTTCAAGTTTTTTCTGGGAACGGTGGCAAGGGATTCCGAACTTGCACCGCTTAACTACAGAAATTTTCCTAGCCTACCGACACTTGATAAGATATTGGATTATGTCCAGGTAGTATACAATGATACTGTTGCATTACACGTACTCCTCCACACGTTACTAATGTTTTAGCTTGAACAGGAGAAGTATATGGTCCCCCATGCCGGGTTAAATTGGGTGATGGATGCTGTAAATAGTTGTTGGAAATATTATAAATGCCAAATCAAGAAGAAACACTTCTATGCATATGATACGGATGATTTAAGGTGGGAACATAAACCAGATACAATCTCCGATCAGATGTTCCTAGATCTTCTACAATATTGGCATACCGATGAGGCGAAGGTACTGTATATTGATTCTAATCTAATTCTCTCGAATAATTTTATCTAATATGTGTTTAATTTTGAATTAAATGGTGGTTTCCGATTTTCCCTAGGCAATTAGCCAAAGCAACAAAAGCAATCGTCTAATGTTAGATGATATGCACACTTTGGGACGCAAATCATATGCTATTTTACGCCATGAGTTGGTAAGTACATTTTTTAAAATCTAAATTATAGGCATGTTGCATATATTTTTATTCTAATTTCATATATTATGATTTACATATATATAGCAACAACAAGATCCCGACAAGAAAGAACCTTCTCAAGCAAAGGTTTACAAGGAATCAAGAAAAAGAAGAGCTGAAAGGACATACATTAGCAGCTTTGAAAAAGCAAAAGAGAATATTGTGAGTTATTCAATAATTAGTAACATCGTACGCCTAAATATTGTTAGTTATTCGATAATTAGTAACATATTACTATGTTTGCCTAAACTGGACAAAATTGATGCTTTGGAGTCAGCACAATCACAAGAAGATGGTAATGTATGCAATGACCCTTACAGTGAAGTGATTCCACCTCCTAAACGCAAAAGTCGTTTGCATCTATATGGCTCGGGTGTGAAGAAGAGTGATTTGAAGAACAAAGATACAAAGTCAAATTACATACTCCCGGAGGAATCCCTGGTAGACATAAAAACACAATTAGTCCAAGAAATTGCACCTACCATCACCGCTGCAGTTTTGGATTCGATTCGCGAGGTGAACCCCGGGATTAATCTTGTGGTTCCTAGTACTCTGCAGCAATTGACTCCGCATGATGCATCTAGTGCACCAAATCGAAATACTGCCCAAAGTGGACAATCTTCAAAATCATTTAATCAGGTATAATCTGCACTTCTCTGCTCTAAACTTTAATTTCTAAACTTCCCCTGACTGCTTGCTTGACTGCTTGACTGACTAACTGCCTGACTGATTGCCTGACTGACTGACTAACTGACTGCCTGACTAACTAACTGACTGACTGCTTGACTTGCCTGCCTGCCTGACTGCTTGCTTGCCTGACTGACTGACTGACTGACTGACTGACTGCCTGCCTGCCTGACTGACTAACTGACTGACTGACTGCTTGACTTGCCTGCCTGACTGAAAGCTTGCCTGCCTGCCTGACTGCTTGCCTGCTTGCTTGCCTACCTGCCTGACTGACTGCTTGCCTGTCTGCCTGACTGCTTGCCTTCTTGCTTGCCTACCTGCCTGCCTGCCTACTATAGTAGGGGCTGGCGTAGTTATGCTGAGTTTGCACATATAGAGCCTCACAACTTGCATCATTCCACTCCTTATCTCCCTCTAGCATTCCCCGAGCATAACAATCAGGTGTGCGATAATTAATGTCGTATGCTGATCACATTATGCTGGATCTTGTCTCCCATGTGAGACTGTCAGAGACTGGCTAGCCGACCCCTGCTGCAGCAACTCTCACTCCTCCCTGCTCTGACTCTAATTCAATTGAAACAGAAAATCAAGGCTCACTCAAGGAATTAATTGCTAATAATTGACTGAACAGTGTAATTAATGTTTCTAGGGACAATGTTGGTATTTATTGATAACTAATTTCAGATTACAAACGCATGACTTAAGGCCATGAATCTCTTAGTAGCTTTAGGCCACAACTCTCTCAATGTGTTTACAATTTTCTCAATGACCCTCCAACATGAGTGGTTTCCTATTAATACAAGGAGTTGCTTCTAAAGCTTACAAAACATTATAGCTAAATTACAACTAATTAACCAACAGCTTTACTAGGGAAGAGCTCAATATCCAATGGTCCTTTCTATGCAAAGGTGTCCTTGAGCAAAAGTGTTTCTGACTTCTCCTTCTTTCTCCAAAAGTGATGGCTTAACAAGGCTGCCTAAGCCTTGTGTGTAATTGTTGTGTTCCTTCTTGTGCCCTCCTGTTGTCCCCCACCTCGGTCTCTTTGCTCATACACTCGAAAGGCCTTGCCGGTATTAGAGTCTATAGTAGAGACATCTAAAATGCCTTAACTTCTATTTTTATCTCTTTGATGTATTAAATCCTGGAAGTGGGTTTCCATTTTGATAACTTGGATTCCTGAGGAATCTCATAAAACCTTTATCTTTGGATGATAGTCAGTCTCTCCCCTTTTATTTATCTTCCAATATTCAAGATGACTTCTTTCTGTCAGAAAGTAATCAATCTCTCTAAGTAATTCTTAGCCTGGGATGAAGCTTTGTTTTATCCCAAGGGGGCCGAGGCCCTTGTAAAAATACTATACTGCATACAAGTATTGCTTAAATCTTTACAGCATTCTACATTAATATGTTCCTGGTATTTAACAACTTCGAGCTGTTTAAACATAGCATTAGCTCAAACTGTTGATATAGCCTTCTGATGTCTTTTGTTTGTTTGATTTCACTTACCATTGGATGTGGAAGACTGTTAAAATTATGATATCTTGCCAAGGATGTCTGATTTTTGTTCTCTTATTGTATATTTTGTACTTTGATGACTGATTTGTGTGTTGTTGTGCGTTATTTAGTTTCCCCAATTGGTGTTGTTATTGTTGTTGGTATTGTGGCTTATGCATTACTTTTTTTTACTTAGGTGGTTGATGACGATGAGCTACCCCGGGATGAATGAAGTAAGGACTAATGTTGATTTTATGTATCTATTGCAACTTCTAGAGAGCTTTCAAATTAAACGTTTGTTAATTAATTAGCTAGTGAACTTTCATTTATAATTAGTTAGTATTGACACTTCATTTACTTTTGTAATGCAACGAATATATATTATATGTACTTCGTTTATTTTGTAATGCAACGAAGATATATTATATGTACTTTAATTTGTTTATTTAAATTATAAATATACTAATATAATTTATATTTATTATTATAGATTTAAAAAAAAAAATTTACCTAATTCAACGGTTTTAAAAAACAAAAAGAAAAAAAAGGGGTCTAATACAACGGTTTTTTTTTTAAAAAAAAGGGAGGCTAATACAACGGTATTAAAAAAAAATAAAAGGGGGGGGGGGCCTAATCAACGGATGTAAAAAAAATAAAAATAAAGGACCTAATCCAACGGATTGGGCGAAAAATCCGTTGGATTAGGTAGATACCTAATACAACGGATTCATCAATCCGTTGGATTAGGTCCAATTATTCCCAAAAAACAAAAGGGAACCTAATCCAACGGATTGAAGAAACCGTTGGATTAGGTATTTACCAATACCTAATCCAACGGATTGAAGAAACCGTTGGATTAGGTATTTACCTAATCCAACGGATTGCTCAATCCGTTGGATTAGGTCTATTTTGCCGTTGTATTAGACCTAATCCAACCCTTGCAAATGTGACGGTTGGAAACCGTTGTATTAGGTCTAATACAACGGTTTTTGACACCTAATACAACAAAAAAAGCCGTTGTATTAGCTCTTAAATGTAGTAGTGCTTATTATTGAACATTGTAGGCCATTCATAACCACGTCATGGCTGTAGGTATGAGCGAGGAGCTAAAAAGTAAGGCCGAGGAGTCAGATTGCCAAGCTCGGCTAGCTGAACTGAAGTGCAAGAAGGCAGAGGAGGAATTTGCGGCGAGCCAATCTCAGATGAAGGAAATGGTGGCGAGCTTCCGCAACTTCTGCAGGGAAATTGAACGGTCCATTTTTCCCTGGATTGAAAGGCAATGCCTTGATTTAGGAATATAGGGCTAATGATATTCCAAGCTTCAAGGCTCGGATTTAGCAAAAAATGAAACAAGAGGCAGAAGTTCGGCAGATGATGGCCGAGGAGTTCAGAACAAAGCAGCCTGATCTTAAGGCTGAAGTTCAGCGTCTCAGCGATCAGTTGAAGGCCAAGGACTCTGATCTATCCAATGTGACTGAATTAGAAGGAGTCCAAAGCCAGCTTGAGGTCCTAATTGATGAAGCTGTGAAGGCTAAGGCAGACCTTGAGGCTGCCCAAAACTTCTTGAAGGTCCGAATCTATACCCAAGATCAGTATGACGAGGGTTTTGATTACGGCTTCAAAGTTGCTCGGCACCTGGCCTTTCATGCTGATCCAAGCATCAATTGGGATGTGGTCGAAGAATGGTCAATGGTTCCTAACCATCCCAACCTACTTACTGCTCATGAAGCCGAGGTCGCTTGCCTTGCTCGTCTCGCCGAGATTGAGGCCCGAGAAGAAGAAGAAGAGCGTGCAATGAAAGAGAAAGACACTGCTTAGCCTGCTTCACATCCTCTGTTGCTACTGAGACCTCGAAGCACTGGACGAAAATCCTAATTTGGCACCGATTCAAACCCCCCTTAAGGCACCCGTTTTGAACCGTTGGGGATTTGAGGGATGCCAAATCCTCAAAAATTTGGCACCGGTTCAAAACCGGAGCCAATTAAAGCATTTGGCACCGGTTTTAAGCATGAACTGGTGCCTTTGAATTTTTTTTTTTTTTTTTTTTTCGGAAATAATATATATTAATATTAATACAATAAATATAATAATAATGAGATCCTGCACATAATACCTGATAATTAATAATAATAATAACAATAATAATAATAATAATAATAATAATAATAATTATTATTATTATTATTATTAATTTTAATAATAATAATAAGTATTGTTATTATAATATTAATAATAATTAGTATTATTAATATATTAATAATAACAAAGACATAAATATTGATAACAATCCCAAAATATGATATTAATTAGAAAAATATGTCAAAACTACAAACAAACAAAATTAATTAGTAATAATGTAGTACACTAAGCTAGTTAAAATAGAAGTAAATGATATTTACAAATTAAATGTGATGTAGGCCGCCAACATGTCTCGAATTACATTGAGTTCCTTGCTCGTGAACGGATTTCCCGTTTGTCCCTTGCAAAACTTGGAATACGTACACAAAACGTAAGTTAGTAGGAGTGAACTCATAAATAATCGTAACATGTCAATATCACTTAGTTATTTGTGACGAAGGCTTGAAATTACAAGAAAATAGCAATTAAGGGGTTGTAGAACGCATTTTCAACCAAAATGGCCCGGGTAAGGCCATTTTCACTACTAGGATGCCTATTTACTACATTTCTTGTCAAATGAACTCATAAATAGTCATAACATGTCTTTATCACTTATTTATAGGTGGCCAAGACTTGAAATTACAAGAAAATAGCAATTAAGGGGTTGTAGAACGCATTTTCAACCAAAATGGCCCGAGTAAGGCTATTTTCACTACTAGGATGCCTATTTCCTACATTTCTTGTCAAGTGAACTCATAAATAGTCTTAACATGTCTTTATCACTTATTTATAGGTGGCCAAGCCTTGAAATTACAAGAAAATAGAAATTAAGGGGTTTTAGAACGCTTTTTCAACCAAAATGGCCCGAGTAAGACCATTTTCACTACTAGGATGCCTATTTACTACATTTCTTGTCAAGTGAACTCATAAATAGTCATAACATGTCTTTATTACTTAGTTATAGGTGGCCAAGGCTTGAAATTACAAGAAAATAGCAATTAAGGGGTTGTAGAACGCATTTTCAACCAAAATGGCATACCTCTTCAAGTTGTTGTGTGTCTGTACAATGACTCATCACTATGTCATACATGAATCTCATCACGTATAGGCCACAATCAACTCTGTTTTCTTGTTGTGCGCACTAGCATGAGGAACAAAGCACATGAATCACAGTGCATAGCAAATTAGCCAGATCTTACGCATTGTATATTAAGAATATCACAACATTATGTGGCATTACCTTGGGTGCTTTCCATGTAGGACCTTGAGGAGCTCGAGGATTTATCTTCTTCATAACACTACATAGAAAAGTAAGTTCAAATTTGATTAGTATAATTAATACATATGAGTTAGGTTATGATAATCAATAACAAGAATTGAAACAAACAAGATATTTACTTTTGTAGTATGGACCTCACGAGGCGCTTTCTTGGTTGAGGTAACCGAGCAGAATCAAAGAAGAAGATTGTGTTACTGGAAACACAAATCACCAGTAGGGTCCAATGATAACTACACACGAGACAAACAAATCAATATTTAGCCTAGTACAACATATAAACTAGGAAAACAAATGAATTTGACAATCATAATCAGACGTACTCATAATATGGGACGAATATAAACTTGTCTCTCGCAGTCACTGTTTCCTTGATAGCCCGTTCAAAATAGTACAACACGTCAGTGGAGTTGCCTAAGATTCTAGAAGTGGACATCTGCTCAGGGCATAACCACCCAATTTGACACGGAGATTCAAGCTCCCACATTTGCTCCTGGAGTGCTCTGCATGCATGATAATAGAATGTTAAACCAAAACCAAACGACAATCACCACTAAACTGAATAACATAAATAGAGTACTAGTTGAATTACCTGATGCATATTTGAATGAGGGAAATGTTAAGCATTGCACCACTTAGAAATTCCTTCACATCTTCTTTGAATAGCCATGCCATTGCATCATCATCGTAGTGGAACATTTCCTTAGGTAGTGGAACTTTAATGGGGCTATCACTAGGCAACACACAAACACGGTTGTGCAGATAAGTTAACTCCTTAGAGAGAGATTGAAGCACCGTGTCTTCAACTAGTGGAGTAGCTTGCATAGCTGACCCTCGCGAAGAGCTCTTGTTCAGCGCTTTTCTACTCATCGACCCATGTTCACTCCTCTTCTTTGACATCGGTTGATCAATGCTCTTTTGCCCCTCCACCCTCTTCTTTGAAGTTTGGCTTTTCCTCGATGACTAATAAGACAAATTAAAGCACACAAATGGTTAAAAAAGAATTTCTACCAACTCTTAGGATTAAAATCGGGTATAGAGTAAAGCGTGAACTCTAAATGTAAATTACCTGGGTCGTAAACCGTATCCAAGCACATGGCCATTGCACAAAACTACCTTTGGTTGCCCAAAGTGTAGTGAACTCATCCTCCTCTACGGGCACATGTATTAGGATGTCCTCGAACCCGGCCACCACATAATTGATCCCAACCGAATAGTGCTCTGGCCGAAGCGGTCGCAAATGGACCGTACCTTGTTCGGCCGGTTGAGCACTTCCATACGCAACCAAGTTCAAAGCTCCACTGTATGAATCGCCCGGGTGAAGAAGTTCATAACAAGTCTCTTCGTACACCAATTAGGAAGATTAGTTGTTAGAACCAAGTAGAACAAAGAAAAGCAAAAAAAAAAAAAAAAAAAAAGCACTTGTGCACTTGTAAAACCGCACAACACAACAAACTTCAAAGCTGAATCAATGAACCAATATCACCATCCAAAGAAATAAGTACACAACTCACCTGTAGAACCGGAAAGTCATGAGGTGTTGGATTTTCAAGCTCCCTCAAGTACGCATGTGCAGGATTACCAACCTGCAACATTGTATTGATAGTGCGAGGCTAATTAGAACCCACATAACTCAATCATGTACCTCCTCGTCTGCATGTATCTCATCTTCTCCTTGTTTTCGTGGGTAACTACAAGAGTCGAGCGGTGTAGTCGAGGAGAAAGGCAAGCTCGGCAAGTTCATTTTCTTTGCCCATGCATTGAACTCTTCTCGCATCTCGTTGCGCACTTGTTCCTTAATTGATGCCACCGTAGCATCCAAGTTGACAGGTGAGTTCACACTTGCTCGGGATCTTCCTGATTTGGTATATTCCGGACCCATCACCTTCTCCCATCCTAGAAAGCTCCCCCCCGCACCCAATACGCGTCCTGGATGGTAGGGCTTTCCCAAAGCCAAGGTGAAAGGGTTCTTCTCCACTGTTGGGACGAGCTTGCCTTCAACAAGCTCTCCAGTGTACTCAAGCTGTAGCAAAAGCA